CTCTCTCCATTTTCTCTTTCTCTCATCCAGGTGTGATTCAATTCGCAAATAATTTCCATATTATCATCCATGCACAACTTTGGATCGAGCAAAACCACATTTTAATCTAAAACACATTAAAACCCTAAAAAAACACATCAAATGTCATCCACCGTTGTGTAATTACTAATACGATAGAAGGATGCAAATAGAATTGATAGAAGAGAGTAAGAGATAGAGAGAGGGGAGAGTTTGTAGAGCATCTCACTCAGTTTACTAATTTTTGTATTTGATCAAACATATGGACGATAACTATATGAGGTACCTCTGCCACCATCACCACCTTCCTCTTATGCATTTTCTCTTCCATTGCCTCACCAGAGTTGCCGAGTTCAGAGATTACGAGCCAAGCATAACTGTAAAATCATGCTCTTATTGAATTAAAATGACAAATTTTTTTGCATGATACTATTAATTTCTCGAAATTGTGAGATATGATGAACCAACAACTATAAGCTTGCTATGTATGATACGGGTGCTTGTCAATTTTGGGCCGCTCAATTGGGTGTTGATAATCTCAAACATACTGACGATAACTATTAATATCATAAATTTCCAACTATTTGGCTATTGATAAGGAGAATAATAAGTCTTACTCAAATATATACTTATTGATATAACTTACAAAAATCACTTCTTTAGCATAAATTTTCACGTAATGTTTATATTAAAAATCTTTATAATTAATTTCAATAAAATTATAATCAATTTTAACGTAGTGACAAGAAGAACTCGATGACAACAAAATTGATTCAATTCAAGACGAGATAAGGTCAAATTAATATTTGAAGGATGAACGCAAACTTTAGGATATTAATTGAATGATCAAATACTGATTTTCCTTTTCTCAAATTTCTCACGAAAACATTGGATGTGACTTCTGATTTTGGCACTTCTCTTTTGTCTGTATATGCATTAAATTTTCGTACAAATAGTATGACAACATAGTCTCTTATTTTTATTGTTACTGTTGAACATTTGAAGTATTAAATACACGCGTGTGTATATATATAGTTGAAAGCATTAAAAAAAGCATGTGTGTGTATATAATTAATCAACCAATTAATTAAAAGCCCTCTTTTTTTTCAAATATAGAAGAATAAGAATTCTTTTTAATGATAGGTAAATATTAACATTTTTAAAAATAACATAACATTAATTTTAATATGCATTTATATATTATATTTATTTAATAATAAATTTAATAATTTATAACTCATTTTAATTAATATTTAATTAGAATATTAACTTAAATTATTTCTTTAAGAAATCATCAACTTCAATATCTTAAATATATATATATATATATTTTGTGATGAGTGATTACGCCTAAGAAGTTTCACCGCTCCTCTTTTTAATTATTCTGTGCTGACGAGGCACCGTTTTCCTATCCTTTACGGCAGAAAAACCCTTGGATTTCGGCTGCTGCTGTGATCATTTTGTTCACCGGTCGGTTTCCTGATCATTTTTCCTTTAATTGGTTCCATCTCTTCCGTCTTCTTTCTCGGTTTTGCGTTGATCAGGTTGAATATCCTTCTTTTTATAGTTCGGAAGCTCCATCGCCGCATGATATACCCTCTACAACCTGATAGATCGATCGAACTCGTCTCTCGGTTTGGTGACTGTTTCTATATGTCTCTTTTGTTTTGGCCCCTTTTTTTTATCGATTGCATGAGTGGAATTTTTTATTCTTGGATTAGGGCACCGGTCAGGGAATTAGGTGCGGCATATATCGATGCCTCGTACGGTTTCTAGATCACCTTCAAGCAGGCGGTGGCGTTCACCCTCGCCAGTTAGTCATAGGTACAGCAGCAGCAGGAGAAGCAGACGAGATCGGAGCAGATCTCCATATTCATATAGGTGGATGAACCTGTTAATTACAAAAGCTTCGTTATTTCCTCTAATGTTTTACATAGTTTTACTTCCTGTCACATACTTGGTCAAGATTTATTTTTGCTTCATCATGGGTTGGGAGAAACGTCTCTGTGGAGTTAAAATAATTACGTCCCTGGTAATGGGAGCGATTAAAGTCATACAATACGTGTAAACATAATATTTGATCATCACCCCAAAATTTGAGTGCTGACTAGAAGCCCTCTTTATGGTTACTATGTTGAATTGATTCATTAATATGATGCATTCACATGAAAGGACGCTCATTTTAATTCTATAGCAACAAAAACAACAACAACATCAAGCCTTTATCCGACTACGTGGGTCCGCTAATGAATCATTTTTCTCCATTGTGTTAAAAGTCAAATTCTCATTTAAATCTAATAAAAAAAAGATCATTTTTAATATTTTTTAACCAAGTCTTTTTAGGTCTACCTCAAGCTTTCTTAACATAAGCCAAACCTAATACATCTACTCCTCTAATCGGGTCATCGGAAAGCCTTTTCTTAACATACCAAGTCTTTTCACGTATAGGCTCGTTTCGTATCCTATCTTTAAGAGTAGAGTCACTCATCCACCTGAGCATCCTCATATCTACAACACTTAACTTAATATTATGCTTCTCTTTTAATGGCCAGCATTCTGCGCCATAAAGCATTACAGGTCTCACCACATTCTTATAGAATTTTCCCTTAAGTTTGATGGGGATTTTTCTATCTCACAACATGCCCGATGCATTCATCCACTTCAACCATATAACTTGAATTCTACTAATGATACTAATGCAAAAGAATATGGGCTTAAGGTTGATCCTTGATGTAATCCAACTGAAATAGGAAAATACTTGGTCAACCCACCTTGTGTTTGAACACAAGTAATAGCTCCTGCATACATTTCCTCAATGACTTGAATATTAGCATTATTAACCCCTCTTTTCTAGAACTCTCCATATAACTTATGTTGGAACTTTATCATATGCTTTCTCAAAATCAATAAATATCATATGTTGATCCTCCTTATTCTCTTTATACTTATCCATCAAATTTCTCAATAAATGTATAGCTTATAATAGACCTATCCGGCATGAATCCAATTTGATTTTGAGAAATATTAGTATCATGTCGTAACCTATGCTTCATAAAATTGTCTCATTCTAATTTTAATGAGCTTAAAAATTTTAGCTGTTTTTTTTCAACTTTACAAGACATGGATATTTGTCAAAGTTTGATTTTACTTTGTTGTTATTGTTGTTAATGGTATGTGTTACTAAACTTAGTTAAATGCACTAATGCTGTCAAATTTGATCATTCTTGGCAAGGAAAAGAACAATCAGAACTTTCAGTAATTTACATAAGCTGGATGTAGAGGAGGGTGAATAGCAGTTTATGAGTGGAAAGTATTTCAGGTAGGCCTGGTGTTTCTTGATTTCAAGAACAAATCCTGTTTGGTGGTTTTGGTTGTTTGACAGAGACGGCTTGCGGAGTTGAAAAGGTCCGACTGCTTGCAGGTGGATCGAACTAAGTGGAAGCACAAGTGCAGTCGTGGTTTCCATTCTGGATCAAGCGGGATTTGTCATGTGTAAGAAGATGATGTCATTGTGACATCGGTAGTCATCTAGTATGTTGAGAAGGTGGACGTTAATTCAAAGATTTCTTGCAGCCAGACAGCGTTGATGCAAGCTTACCGGCATGGGTACTAGGTGGACGACAACTTCCCTTATGTTTGGAAGGAAGTTTGGTGCTGATAAGTTTGTGATCAGTACTAATGATGAGAAGACAGAGATATTTTCTCTTTGATTAAAGATCGGTTTGGAGACTTTAAGGTGGAGTCGCCTGTTCTTGGGGAACATTGCCGTGAGTGCGGAGCGCTTGGAGGTGCAAGGTCGTGCGGTGCACGAGGAGGACGCATAGGAGCGCAGGGCACTGGCCGGACGCTGCAGTGCAGGGCATGGGTTTGTGACTTGCGGATCGCAGGTGAAGGCGTAGGGCTCGGTGCACGGGTGGATACATGCAGGATGTGGTTGGAGTCAGACCACATGAGTGCAAGGCGTGGGTGCGGGCTGGAGGCGTAGGACGCAGGCTGGAGGCGTAGGGCGCGGGCACGAGGCACAGGGTGCTGGTGGATGCACAGGGCGCGGAAGCGAGACACAAGGGGTGCTCGGGAATTGATTGCGTTGGACACAGTGCGACATAAGAAGATCTTTCAGAAGGTGGAGCTAGATCTCGTGAGGCTGGAAACTCAAGAAGATGGTGGAACAATTCTTGAGAAATTTGTTAACCGTCCGGTGGACTTGATTGGCGAGGAAGATCGACGGGTTGTTCTTTGGCTGTTCTTTATGAACAGTGTTATCTTTTGTTGTGTAAATCTAAGATCAAGGTGGAGATTGTTGGGTATTGTTCCTAGATTTAGGATTGCATTTTGTTTAGGTTTCTTGTATGGCTTGTATGGCCATTGGTGTTGCCATTTGTATAACTTTTAGGAGTCTTTAAATAGAGATTTTTTAGGCTGTAATATTGGCCAAGAGAAATAAAGAATTTCTGCATCTCTCTCTCTTTTTCTTCCCTGTCCTCCTCCTTAAGAAGCTCATGTAAGAAGTGCTTCTTCCTCTCTAGAGAGCAAAGATTCTACATCTGGTATCAGAGCCACGGTGGTGGCGATTTCGAGGTGGAGGAGCCGGAGCTACCAGCACCTTGCGCCTCGTGCCCGCGCCCTATGCCTCCAGCCCGCGTCCTACGCCTCCAGCCCGTGCCTGCGCCTTGCACTCATGTGGTCTGATTCCAACCACATCCTGCGCGTATCCACCTGTGCACCGAGCCCAACGCCTTCACCTATGCTCCGCTCGTCTCAAATCCATGCTCCGCACTGGCGCGCCCGGCCAGCGCCCTGTGTGTCTTTCACCAGTGCCCTGCGCTCCTATGCGATCTCCTCGTGCGCCGCACGACCTCGCACCTCCAAGTGCCCCGCACTCCCATCACTGCTCCTCAAGAACAGGCCGAACTCCACCTCAAAGATCCTGGATTCCACCATAAGTCCAAAACTCGACCTCAAAAAAAGATCTAATCCGATCTTCTGCTACAAGATCATAATTTCAAAATCTTTTATCTTCTCAACTTGCTGGATGACTTCCGATGTCACCATGACATCATCTTCTGCATAATCATTTTTAGAAAAGAATTCTTGTTCGTTTCCTAGCTCCACGAAAGCACAGCCCATGCAACGTGCAATGCCCACCTTGATCAAATCCAAGATCAAGAGTCTATTCCTGCCTCCAGCGTACCTGCCTCCGCACCAAGTACAAGAACCGGCTTCTCCTGGCACCGCCTCCACCAGGCAGCACACGCGGCCCCTTTGCCACTCACTGGCTACCCTTGATTAGGAAGATCCATCCGCGCCACAGCCAGCCGAAGCCTTGCACGAAACAACCCGTACGTGGATCCTTCTCCCTTCAAGAAAACGAACCTATGTTCGATTCGGCCATCTGCATGAGGTTCCGGCCCTACACGTGCCTTCGGTCTGCTCCAGCTCGCAGAAAACTCCCGCGTATGCTAGATCTTGCCTTCGGTTTACGGGAATAGAGCCCAAGCCTGACACCGCTCAGCCCGACGCCGCTCAACCCCGATCTGCCTTCTTCCAGTCCTAATGAACTCACGTGGAAGACCGCCTGGACCTGCTTCCACCTCGCAAAATGATTGACATCCGCCTCCTACGCACATCCGAGCATGGCTACTCCCTTCGCCGAATCCGACGAACCCCACCAAGATTGCCTGCTCCACTTGGCCTTGAATCGTTTTCTTAGTCAAGAAAACCACCTCCGGCTCCTCCACCTCGAGATCGCCACTACCGTGGCTCTGATACCATATGTAGAATCTTTGCTCTCTAGAGAGGAAGAAGCACTTCCTACATGAGCTTCTTGAGGAGGAGGAGAGGGAAGAAGAAGATAGAGAGATGCATAAATTCTTTATTTCTCTTGGCCTCCCTATTACAGCCTAAAGAGCTCCTATATATAGACACCCAAAAGCTATACAAATGGCAACACCAATGGCTATACAAGCCATACAAGAAACTTAAGCAAAATACAATCCTAAATCTAGGACCAATACCCAACAGCTGTCAAATTTGATCATTCTTGGCAAGGAAAAGAACAATCAGAACTTCCATTAATTTACATAAGCTGGATGTAGAGGAGGGTGAATAGCAGTTTATGAGTGGAAAGTATTTGACATAGTTTGAGCTGTATGCAACTTCTGCTATATGGAGGCATTCGCGGCCAGTACAATTTTAGGTTTATGCAACTATTATTGGGATAGGTGTGGCGGATAAAGGATGAATAGTTATTTGATAGAAAAAGATAGCATTTGCCTAAAACTTGGACATAATCTCATAATTGTGTTATTTGATGTTTGATTCTCTTTTTCATTTTGTCATTTGTTTTGATAATTAACTATTTGAAATACAGAAATGTTCTTTTCACAAATTTGTTTTACATTCTGCAAATTCTCTTCGGGTTTATTGAAATTCTTATGCATTACTGATATTGAAAAATGAGACGGGTTGGCTGATATCTGTTGATGCTGCTCCTGAGTTTTCCTATCATCTGAAAGTTCTAAAAGTACCATATTTGGACTAGAACTTGAACCAGAACCTGAGCAAAAGGATAAGCGTTTTAGTAAGCATTGTCTTTGCCAATTCTTATTTTTATTTCTTAGATAGCATTTGATGCATTTCTCTGATTTTTTTTAATGGTAATTGTGTAGTGAAATGTGGTAGAAGCCAATGATTTTGTTACTCTATAATCTGTAATGTGGTCTTTTTTTATTTCGAACTTCTTAGGTTGATTGATTTCACTTAGTTTATCATGCACATAATTATGCTGATGAATTCACTGAGTTTCTGCATAACACTTTTAGAAAATTTAAATCTATTATTTTCTTGCTTGATTTGGACTTCAGGGTTTTCTTTGATTAGAGATCATGCATGCAAAGATTACTCTTTAACAATGCTTGAGGTAACTGTACATATTATATTTCTAGATGTTTGTGTTGAAGACCATAATCCAGGTTTTCCAAGTTCTTTATATGGCATATAATTATTAATACTAACTGTGTAATTTTTAATTATCAGGAGAAGAAGTCCATCTCCTTCCCCGAGATGGCGCAAAAGCCGTTCACCCACTCCTAGGAGAAGAAAAAGTCGTTCCCCATCTCTTAGGAGACATAGAAGACAAAGAAGTAGGAGCAACACCCAGTCTCCCATTAAGAAGTCCCCAAGTCCAAGTGTTCGGTCAATTGAGCTCACGAATTCCATTGAGAAACTAAGAAAGGAAGAAGAAGAGAAGAAAAGGTTTCTGATTTTCTCCTTAACCTTCGAGTCTCTTTTTATTCTATCTTATGCATTTGATCATGATTATATTTCATGACACTTCTATTGTATTTTTCATTGCAATTCCCCATCCTGATCTGGCAATGTCATAAAATGCATTTCATTTGCCATACAAATCCTATTTATTAAACAAGGCCTTTTCTAAATAAGAAAGTCATAGGCCTTCATCCTGTTACTTGGAATCTCCTCCTATTGTATGCAATAATGTAATTTTCAAATTGTGAGCATTTGATAATGCTTAGGTGTAGCAAATTAAAGTAATTGGTATTTTTATGTTAATGAGCATATTGGTTGTTTTATAAGATATACATTTTTTCATTTATGATGCATATGAGAATTGGATGCATGCTTCTTGCTCTATAAATTGAAGATTTAGTTTATGTTAAATTTGTCGTCAATCATTTGAGGAGAGATAAAGGAATGCATAAACTTTTGGTGTATATTGTATAATGTTGAGATGCTATGAGGTTAATCATTTATGGTGGGAGATGCTGCCTGTATGGGGGGAGACACCAAAGCCTGGTAACTTGATAGATTTGGGAAAAAACAGTCTTTTTAAACTTTAGAATCCCAAAAACCATTTCGCAAAATTTTTTTTGTGTTTCTTCAGGGCTTACTAATCACCTAAATTATTGTTACTAATTGATACAATGCTATTCAAATTTCAGCTGGGCTAAGAGCCAAATGTTAATAGATTTCAAGTATTTATGTATTTTGTGTTTCTTATGTTTCTTTTCTTCTTCATGTATAATTAAAGATTTATCATACTTAGGCCGGGTTTGGGAATGCTGTTCAAAAAACATAGGTGCAATTCCTACGTGATTTCTTGGCAATGGTGAATGAAGACTGTTGTTGTTTTTTCCGCACCACAAAATACTGCAAATTGTTGTTATTTTTTATTTTTTATTTTTGCACATTGTTGTTAATCATTTCATGAGAAATCCATAATTTCACTGCTTGACTTTTTTGTTGGGATACCTTTAAGAAACCGAATTATTTTTATTTATCATCCTATTTCTTGTTTATTTTAGTTTGGCTTTGGAATAAAATTTTAGAAGCCTTTGTCTCCTTGAAAGATCTCTTTATGGCAGTGTATGACTTGTTATTTGTAAATATATCTGCCAATTATTTCTACCTACCAATCCATGCTCCTGGCCTGATATGGGCTCCTTTAGATTCTTCATTTTTATCCTTGCCAGCTTTCCTCTTTGGATTCTCCTCTCATTGGCAGTCTCAACCGATATTTAGGCTTTGTTTGGGACGGCTTTCTAACTGCTTCTTAAAATAGCTTTCTAATAAAAAAATTTAATTTTTATTATAAAAAGCTGCTTTAAGAAGCAATAACAAAGCCGTCCCAAACGAAGAATTAGTTGGACTAGTGCATTGCATTTTGCAATGTTTAATGTGGTATTCAGATAATCTATGTTTAAGAACTTGTCTGGCATACTACATTGTTATTTCCCCTAGCGCACCAATTGTGGTATTTTGTTGTCTATAACTTGGTATATTCGAAAAATAACTAATTCAATTCCATATAATTTTGAAATCCGTGAGGTGAGTAGAATGCTTCACGTGCTTTGGAATTATGAGTCTAATTTCTTAGATTTGTATCAGATGCGTGAGTCTTGTGCGTTGAATATCATGTTTGTTGATTATTGGTAATTTGTTTTTTTTATTGCTTTATGCTGATCAATTTGTATAATATGTGAATGATTATGAGGCTCATGTTATTTCCTTCAAAAATAAAGAAAACTGATACTGACTTCTTTTTATCACTTAGTCATGATTTGTCAAAAATAGATGAATGGGAATCTTAAATTGTAGGCTGGATTGATTGAAGTAGAAACGAAATAACTCGATGTTGCTGAAGGAATGAAAATTTGTACTTATATTGATAATCCTTAAGTTTAGACTCTTCTAAGTTATACTTTAGCCTAATTCTTGAGCCTGTTTTGGTGATGATCTCACATAGTCCTATAATTTATAGGACCTTTTGTGATGCCTTGACTACCTAAAATATTGTCTAGTCATCTGACCTATAGACAGATTGCCCATCCTTGCTGGTGGTTTGGTCAAGGTTTTGTTCCTCCTTTAACCTGAGAGAGCACATTGCCATGTGGATAATCACATCCAGTTGTGATCCTATATGAATCACTTTTGACCAAAGGAACAATTATGAAATAAAATTTGCTAGGCCTGAGTGAGGTGTTAAGGATCTCTTTATTTATTTATTTATTTTTTTTTGCTTGCTCTTATTCCTTTTTCTTACCCCTTCTCCCTTATGTTGGTTGGTGGGTAGTTATTTGCTTTGGATTGCATTTGTAATTGATAGGAGTATCTTACATCAGATTCAGGCTTCATTTGTTGAGACGGCGTCTGTATTGTTTTTTAAAATAGCTTTTTAGTACAAAAAATTTTTGAATTGAAAATTTTTGCACCAAAAAATAGTTTTATAAAGTAGCAAAAAAATTATCCCAAATGAAACCTTAGGTCATCCAACAACCTTTTAAGATTTATATTCTAGCTGATAAATTTCTCTAGACTTAGTATTTATCAATTAAGGCCCGAAGTCCGCTTTTGTTTTTTTTTTTTTTTGGTTTATGCTTTGATATAAAATAAAATAAATCATTGTTTATTTATGTGGTAGTGATGACAATTGTTAACTAGGCAATGGCGGCAACTAGCAGCAGCCAATGGTAACAGCTGCGGTGACTATCGAGTTGGAGACTGCTGGCCGTGCTAGTTTTTTTTTTTTTAATATTCCAAACTTCTTAAAGTTATTTTAAATGTTTTTAAACATAAATTAATTTTTTTCTTAAGACAACTAGAAAAAACGCTACAAACATGTTTTTTAAAAATAAAAACAAAACAAAAAAAGAATCCCTAACAAGTCCTTAGTGTTTCTTTCGATGTCTGGTTCATGTAGCGACATATCATTTCAGGATTTGTTCTAATGTCCATTCATACAAGAGAAATAGTGGCTTTTTTGTTCCATTTTGGCTACTTTCATTAGCCTCAAGGAGCTTTTAGGGCTTTAAAACAAACCATTAGTGTGGCAAAAAAAGAAGAGTGATAGAACATTCTTTTGTGTTTTCAAGTTTAGCTAGACATAGTATTTTGAATGTGCCGAAACCATCATTGATGCAGGAATTAATTACATGATCAGTTTTAAACCTGGTACAGGTTACTTTGACATTCTTCTCCACAGGCTTTTCTGAAGGAAGCTACTGCTGTATTTCTACTTGTTATATTTGATGATCCCTAAGGTGCCTCGTTTATCTTCTGTACACCAGTTTGAAATCTCATTTGTTTGGACCTGCAATCTTTTTTAAAGGTATGCCTTAAAAACATGAAGCTTGTACATAATATTGGGAATGGACTGAAAGAAAATGGTCTAGTTGATCAACGTTAATGAAGCATGTGATGCTGCTTGCTAAATTTAGGCAACTTTGAGGCCTCAAAAACATGTATAGGTATTGGCCTATCTAATGCTTTGTTGAAGAGCAGGCATTCCTTTATAACTTTTATTTTTTTTTAGCAGGCGTCAAAAAGAAGCAGAATTGAAATTGTTAGAAGAAGAAACTGCTAGAAGAGTTGAAGAAGCTATCAGAAAAATGGTTGAAGAAACTTTGAACTCTGAGGAGGTCAAATTGGAAATCGAGAAGCGGATTGCCGATGGTCGAAAGAAGCTTCTTGAGGAGGTTGATGCCCAACTTGAGAGAGAAAAGGAGACATTTCTTACTGAAGCTAGGAAAAAGGCGGTGTGTACTAATCAACACCTTTTTTTTAAGTGATTACTACTTTCCTAACATCATAATTGACACTAAATTTATTTTTTAATTGTTTCTAGAACTGGTTCTTTTCATTGGTAGTTATAGGCCGTGACAGCATGTTGCTTATTCTAATGGAAAAATTATGATCACAGTTTTCCAACGTCAGTAATCTTTCTATCTCACCTACTTACCAGAAAGAGTCTTTCTTCTTGTTTGCAGTTCCTTGTTGTGGGAATGAAATATTTTGTTTTGGTTTTTTTGTTTTTTGTTTTGGTTTTTTGTTTTTTGTTTTGTTTTTTTTTGTTTTTTTGAAATTGTCCTTTGTATGGTTCAAGTTAAAGCAACAAAACATAAATTACGCCACTTTAGAAAATTATGAAAATTCTATGAATGGACTTATATCTTGTTATTTAAGTTTTATTTGGGATATATTTCTTATTGTTTTATAAAGCAGATGTAGAAGAAGTTATTTTTTAAAGTTGTTATAGGAAGCAACTTTTTATAGTGCAAAGCTAAATTTTATTTGAATGCAGCTAAAAAGTAGTAGTCAAGCAGAAATTGTGGTTGCAGTTTGAAAAGCAAAGTGGTAAGAAAGCTGTCCCAATCAAAGTCTTGATTAGTGAAATAGCAAAAAGCATTTAAAAAAATAAAGTAAATATTGAATAAAATTTTCCAAAGCTTTTTTCACCCAAATACTTCCAATTTTCGGTCAATTTATACCCGTTAAAAAAAATAAAGCATTATACAGCTTAATTGCAGTATATGCTATTGTTGAGGTAATCCTTCCATAAATTATCTGCAGCATTAGATTATGGTATAGTTTCTTAGGCGTTCTGATCTTCAATCTCCTTTACTCTTACTTGTTGAGAGTTACTACTATAATAGCAATCTGACATTGAAAGACATGCAAGTCGAATGATCCATTTGACTTATCAATTGATTGAATCCATATCTTTTTATTTTATTGAATTGTTTTCCACTTTTCTTGTTATTTTCTACCTGATTTGTAGGAGCAAGAACGCAGAGAAAGAGAGGAGTTGGATAAAATGTTGGAGGAGAATAGTAGGAAGGTCGAAGAATCTCAGAGGAGAGAGGCCCTGGAACAGCAACAGAAAGAGTTAGAGCGTTACCAAGAATTGGAACGGCTCCAAAGACAGAAGGAAGAAGCCATGCGGAGGAAGAAACATGAAGAGGAAGAGGAGAGGGCAAGCCAGATGAAACTTTTGGGTAAAAATAAAACTCGTCCCAAGCTCTCCTTTGCAATTGGGCTGAAGTAAATAGGCCTGCTAAAAATTTTCCAGCTGAACTAAGTTTCTGTAATTGGCTGTAATACTTTAGCCTTTGTTTTTGCCCCTGTATTGATTGAGGAAAAAAAAAAAAAAGAAAGGTTCTGCTTCCTTTTTCTTGGTCTGTATAATCTATGGAATACTTTGGTGCCAAATTTTAATCAAGTCATTATCTGCAAGATTGTGCCTGCGTTCCCTGTTACTATAGGAAAATTTCGATCTTCTTTCCTTTTCATTGAGATGATTAATTTTTACTTGAGAGTTCCAGGGCCTCTTTCCTTTTCACTGTTACCATAGGAAAGCATCAATTCTCTTTCCATTTATTGGATTGCTTAATATACAAAAATAAATAAATAAAAAATAATGATGTTATGCATTTTTAATTTCTTTTGATGCAGAAGAAGAACTAAAGTAAATTTTTTTATTTTTTTTGTTTTCAACAATTTTCTGAGGCTTTGAAAAATGAATTGGAAGGAGAGGTAATTGGTTTGATGATTGGATGTAATAAATAATTATTATATTTAAATGTTATAATAATGATATAATTATTTATAAATAAATAATAAAAAGTGAACATAATCATAATATGAATCATAAAAAAATATAATATTATATAAAGTAAATAATACTATGCAAGGAGAAGAATTGAAGAACTCACAGTCGGTCGGAGAGGACTTGAGCACGATATGGAAAACAGAGAAGATCTCTGAACAAATGAATAATAGGGTTTTTTTGGTTTCATATAAGCTTAGGTTCTTTTATCTAAGCCATCCGATCAGATCTAAACAGCTGAAAAGGATTTTTGGTTGAATTGCCTGGTTATTAGAAATCGGTATCGCTTTTCTGGTTCCGCGATCAAACCGTCTTTCAAACGGTCCAACAAATTGTGTAGATGTGTTACATAATTTTTGTTTAAGAATAATTATCATTATGTTGATGATATTTTTAAAATGTATTATTTATTAAAATAAAAATAATCATCAGTCATTATATATATATGAAAAAAAAAATCTATACTTTTACTTATAAGCTTCCCCTCATTTTATAAAATCATTATGCAAATAACGACGAAGGTTTTCTTTGAGATAATTTTTTTAATATTTTATGAGCATTTTTTAGTATCAAAATTGTTAATTTATTTTTTTTTCTAAAAAATTATTTTATAAAATAATAAAAAATTGTCTCAAACTAAACAGAAATCAAAATTTAAAGCATGGACACCAAAAGACTGAACGCCAAATTTAAAAATAACCGAACTTTCAACCTACAATTTTATAAAAATATTTGAAAAAAAATTGATTTGGATATCTTAACTAAGAGTCTATTTGAGGGATTTTTTCATTATTTTAATTTTTTTTTTATTTTTTATCACATTTTAATTGGGCTATTGCATTTTCTGTTGACGCACTTCCGGCTATCATTGTTTTTATTTAATCACATTTTAATTTTTTTTTATTTTTACACAATTTTACTTTTTATATTTTATAACGATGCATCTTCTTGACATTTTTTTTTTATGATAAAAATTTCTTTTCACTTCAGATAATAAGATCTATTACAATATGATATGTGGCAAAAAATTGCTATTTAATTTTTTTTTTAAAAAAAAAAATTAAAAATTCAAAATATTAAAAAAAAAACTTATCTGTAATAATTTTACATTTACTATTAGGATAAGTCAATAACTACAGCCACATCAAATAATCCTAATTTTTTTAGGATTGTTGTGGGATAGAATATACACGACGCTAGAGAGATTATCATACATCTTAGTGTTGCATGAATATTGGAGTTCACACACAGAGAACACATAATTTTTTACATGGAAAATCCTAAAAAGGGGAAAACTCATGGGGCCTGGTCCAGCTGAAAATGATTCAACTAGAATTTCAGTAGATTATAGTGGGCCGACTTGCCTTCGAGGGTGATCAGATTATAAATGTCAACTGTATGGTTGAAGTCAGGGGTATATGGAATTCCAATGTTACTTTGGTGGTCAGAGAAAATTCAGGGACACTTGGAAGCTCAGGCGTCACTTGGTAGAACTCTGGCGTCGGCTGGTGGTCCGGCGGAGCTTAGGGAGTCGGGTGGTGGTCTGGAGGAGCTCAGGGCGTTGGGTGGTGGTCCGACAGAGCTCAAGGGGTTAGGTGGTGGTCCGGCGGAAGCCGCGGAACTTCTGATGATGGCCGAGTAGGCAAAGAGGCAAGAACGATCACCGATTTATCTCTTTTCTTCCTTTGGCTTGGGGTCCCCTTTCAAGAGAAATGAAAGGTATATTTATAGATTTCCTATTGTAGCATGACCCGTAAATAGAAGGGAGATTAAGGGTAAATGATGAGTGGTTTGGATGGACAATCAATGTTGAATCCTTTGATCGCGGATTGTTCGTTAGATAATGGAAGGCCTAAATGATGTCGAAATTCCAAGATCTGGAGCTTGTTGGATTTGTTTCGTCGAGCCGCTCGATTCGCAAGTTTATAAGCATGTCACGTTTGGTAATCCAAATTATGGTTTGAAGTTTGAACCTTCCAACAGCGCCTCAGGTCCTTGATTTGGACTCATTTGGGCTCGGATTGAGTCAAATTTGGTGTTGTTGGGTTCATATTCTCGAGAGGTTCAGTTCGACAGTAAGTTTGCTAAAATCGGAGTTCAGATGATCCCAAATTTAATCTTGACAGTTTCCAACTTGATTTTTCCTCGAGATTCGTGCCCAATCAAGATAATTTTTTGAGGTTGTATCAAGGATGAAGAGTTCCAATGCCATCAAATTTACTTTCAGATAAATTATATATATATAACACTTTAATATATGTATATAACACTTTAATGACTCAAGTTTGATAGAGAAATTCCAACCCAACAATTTTCCAACTAATGTATCCCAACTTGAAATGCAAGAGAGAATATCTTGTCAAGAGACATTTAACCTAACTAAATTCGACAAGCAACTATTATTTCTCATTCGAAACTTTATCAGCTTTATCTACTCACCGTAAACAAACGCAAGAATATTCACATCACAAAAATATTCACTCATATTCGCCGAAGTTCAAAAGTATCTTCCTTCTTTACACTTCCATAATATTAAAATAAAAATTTAACTTATATTTTTATCAATAAAGATCGCAGCCGTCCAATAAAGATCATGATGTTGTCACCAGCTCATCAAGACCATGATGTTGTCACCAGCTCACCACCTAATGCAAACCTCGGCCTACAGAGCACACCTAGGGATGCAAATGAGTCAAGCCAACTCCAGAGCCTTCTCAAACACAACTTGTTCTCATCGAGTTTGAGCCCGAGTGCATTTTTGAGCTCGTTGGGTAATCGAGTTTGAGTTTGATCGAATCGATTCTCGTCATTTACTCGTTGAGCGGCTCGATTAGATGCGTGCGAAAGGCATACTGCGAAAGACGAACCACTGATTCGAACTTGCGAAGCAAGCAAAACATCAAACAAACATATCTAATATTCTTTTGAATCAAAAAGTGGAATGCGACTGTTCTAGGCTTCGAGCTAAGGATTCTTTGATTGTTGTGGTTTCAAAGTGAGGAGCATTGGAAATTTCTCTAGGAATCTTCATCTCTACCTTATATCTTAAGAACTTCAATCTTACATTCTCACGTGTAACTTCATTTGCTAAATCGTGAGCTCAAGATACACTACAATGGTTTCTTCTTTTCTAGCGGCATGCGTTCTTCCTCTCCAGAGTTATCACATGAGGGCGTGATCTCATGAGCAACTCGCGAGCTCCGGAGCACGTTTTCAGTCGAGCTCAAGCTTGTCTTTTGAGCTCGACTCGAATTTGAGCTTAGGATTTGACTAGAGACTCATGCTCGACTCAAACTCGTTTACATCTCTAAACATGACTATTAACAGCTGCCATTGCCAACCCAACAACCAACAATTTCTCATCAAGAAATATTAACCTTTGTTGCTATCAAATAATTTAACTTGTAAAAATTTGAAAAATTACTATCATAATTTTGAGATATAATTTAACCTATAATAAGGTAATATTTCAATA